TTGGCAACAGCACAGATGCACATAAATACCATGGCATCCCCAAAGTAAGCAGTTTGCTAGCAAACTGGAGGGACGCATCTTGGGTAATCTTTTGGCAGGTATGAGTTCATGCATCAGTTTCTGGCAACCAGGTCATCAATCCTCATGGTAATGAAGGCAGAAAGAGCATTTTAAATCCAGTGTTTCCACCTACACTCTCTAATTCCACACTGCACCTCTCATATTAAAAAAAGCTTGACTCCTAGTCACCCTGGCCTCCAGTGCTCAGTGTATTTGTATAGAACAGTTTGTGTGTTCTTACAAATGTTAGCTGTCTTCCTGGATGGATGTGCGCATGCATGTGTGTTTAAGTGTTTGTGTGTCTCATTATGTTTGCTTGTGTACCTGCTTGTGGTGATAAGAGCCCGTGTAGAGCATGTCCTTTGTTCTGCCAGACTTACGCCCTGTGTGTCAGCATAGGTAAATTAAACCCTGCCTAATCCAAGGTTTGAGCCCACATAGATAAAACCTAAGCTTGGTGTCAGTGGTGTTGCTGCATGGGTTTTTGTTTGACACTGTCTCTGTGTCTCGAGGTTGATAAATGCTCTTTTTCTCTGAAGCAGCTGCATGCAAAAACAGTATGAGTTAACTGTAGATACAATGTGTAGAGAGTGTGTGTATCAACAAGCCCCCTACGTGATCCTCAGTGTTTGTGTCTTGAAGAGTTTATCAGGATTACAAGCAAACACACATTTAAACTTTGTCACACATATACTCTGTCTGCCATATTAATTCGAGTAGCCAGAACAAGTGTTTCTTTTCCTGTTGGCCATCTGAGTCACAGGCTGCAACCAAGGTGTGACACACTACTTTGTCTCCCTCTCTCGTCTTCTGTAGCTCTCTCTCCTTTTCTGTGTTGCTATCTTGGTTCTCTAACCATTAATTGTCTGTCTTCCTTCCTTTCTGTCTCTTCCTCTTCTGTGTTTTTCTGCCCTCCTCCTCCTCCCTCCCCTTTCTGGCTCAACTGCTTGTATTTGTCGACTCCCTCCCACCTCTCTTGTGACTCCTTCCTCCCCCCCCCCCTCTTTCT